TATTAAGATTCAAGGGTGTGTAAACTTTTGAACGGGGTCATTTTTTATGAATTCAGTTATTATTTTGTCTTGTGGAGACTATATAAACATCTGTTAGGTGAAATAGCTTATTCTGGACAGTACTAAATAAAAATAACACGCAATTTTCATGATCCCTCTTATTTAGTTAAAATTATTAACATATTTGCATATTCTGCAAGGGGTATGTAATCTTATGAGCACAAATATATATATAAATCGATATTTATATATAAATCGTTAAACATTTCTTCGTCCTACATGGACCTGTTGTTATTAAAGCTGCAGTGTTATTCAAATTTAAATTTTTTTGAGCCAAATCTCAAAATTGTCCTATGGTGTGAACTGTCCCAAGCATGGTTCAATAAAATACAACTTTTATAAATTAAAAAGAAAAGCATAAAAATTTTAATAAATACCTCTGGCATAATTGTACAAGTGTCTGTTTTAGTAAATAGCATTAATTGTTTTCATCCATTTTGTCTCTGAAATCCATGTCCTCTGGTGTGACACCATATCATGATTTTAAATCGTCCAATTCCAGAGAAAACCTTAATTAGTTGAAGGACCCCATTCATGCTCGTGTGATCCTTTTTTTGAGACAGAAAGAATTGAGGGAGAGCAATTAGTTATTCAAATTTAAATTTTTTTGAGCCAAATCTCAAATTGTCCTATGGTGTGAACTGTCCCAAGCATGGTTCAATAAAATACAACTTTTATAAATTAAAAAGAAAAGCATAAAAATTTTAATAAATACCTCTGGCATAATTGTACAAGTGTCTATTTTAGTAAATAGCAATAATTTTTTTCATCCATTTTATCTCAGAAATCCATGTCCTCTGGTGTGACACCATATCATGATTTTAAATCTGGCCAATTCCAGAGAAAACCTTAATTAGTTGAAGGACCCCATTCATGCTCGTGTGATCCTTTTTTTGAGACAGAAAGAATTGAGGGAGAGCAATTAGTGCAAGAGAGAGGACACAGAAATATAGACAGAAAATTAACAGGGATCCACCAGAAGGAAGGAGGTCCTAAGAGAGCGATGCAGAAAGAAAATCAAATCAAAATGATGTCTTAAAAAGAGTAGCCATATATATATATTTTTTAATTCATTCACATGTTAATGAATATAGTTTGAATATCAATCCTATTTAGCTGTGCAGCGGGGGGCTAGAAGAGTTTCAGTAACATACTAATTAACTAAGAGACTGACTTTTGTTGATGAAAATTATTTTATGTTTTGTTTAAAAAACATGTTGATATTGTTTGTATCAAAATTAAACTTTCTTTCTCCTTTGACATGTTCAAAATTAAATAGAAATACTTTAATAA